CAAATGGGGCCTTTGGAGCCTGGGGCCGAAAAGGCTAGGCTGAGGCTCTACCTTCAGGCCAGCCTGCCTGCCTTCTTCCTGGATGTGGGAAGAGCACTTGATCACTTCAATATTTAGTCTTCTTCCCTATTCAATGTCAGCACCTTCTGCTTGTTCAGCTGACAGAACATCATTATCATTTAGGCAGGACGTCCACAGAGGAAGTCAGATTTTTTCCAACCTCCTCTGTTTAGCCACTTTCTTCCTTCCAAATGAAATGGTTTGTTATCCATTTGACTTTTTTATTCCCTTAGCAGCCTAAGTTTACATTCTTATTTTTCCAAACTGAACCACGTGTAGACAGAAAGAGTAGGCACAAAGCTATCAGTTCATCCTGCAAACTATCAGAGTAATCTTCCTAAAACATGTTTGGAAGGTCTTTCACTTCTCTAGACTTATTTAGAGCTCTCCTAAGTAAAGGATGAAGCCCTGCAATATTTGGTGTCGAGCCACCCTTTCTGTCCTTCAGTTTTACCATATGTGTATCTTGCGCTACATTAGAAAGCAGCATCATTCTCTTCACACCGAACTTGCCTGAATTCCTGGCTTTATGCCAGAGACCTTCAGCCACCATGAAATTCAGCTGTTTATTCAATGAATGTATAATGAGCACCACTGTCCTCCCTAAATCCCACTCCTTCATAGACCAAACTGATTTCCTACATGATGCATCAGTCTGGAAAGTCATTAAGAGAAGGGACTCTGTCTTATTCGTTTTGGCAATCTTGACATTCTATCTACTCCCCCAGTAGTTTTTTCAATAAACTCACTATCCTTAGGACAGAGTAGAACTCAGTGTAAGGCTTACTGCAGGTTTTTTCCTACCTCCCCTGTTCAAAAGTTATCCTCGAATTATCTTACTGCCTGTGTTATCTTGTGACTTCCTGTTACATTTTCTTTATTCCCTGTAGGCTTTGGGGTATTGTTTTGCCCATAGTAGGCACTTTAAAATATTAATGGCTTGGACATTGTAATGATGTTAATCCTTACAATCCATGAACATGGTATATGCTTCCACTTGTTTGTATCTTCCTCTACTTCTTTTTCCAATGTCCTGTAGTTTTCCTAGTAAGTTTATTCCTTGGTATCTTGGTTAAGTTTATTCCTAGGTATCTTAATTTTTTTGTTGCAATGGCAAATGGGATTTTTTTTTAAGTTTCTCTTTCTGAGAGTTCATTATTGGTGTATAAAAATGCTATCAATTTCTGGATAATAATTTTGTATTCTGCTACTTTACCAAACTCATTTATTAGATCTAGTGGTTTTTTGGTGGAGTCTTTTGTATTTTCTATGTACAATATCACATCATCCTTGAATAATGACAGTTTCACCTACTCCTTTCCAGTTTGGAGGCCTTTTATTTTTTATTTTTGTCTGATGGCTGTGGCTAGGACTTCCCAGTACTAGGTTGAATAAGTGGTGAAAGTGGACATCCCTGTTTTTACCTGTTCTTAGGGGAAATGCTTTTAGTTTTTGACCATTGAGTATGATGTTGGCTGTAGGTTTGTCATATATGGCCTTTATTATGTTGAGGTATGATCCTTTTATTCCCCCTTTGCTGAGAGTTTTTTTAAAATATATTTTAAAATCCTCACCTGAGGATATTTCTCCATTGCTTTTCAGAGAGAGTGGAAGGGGGAGAGAGGGGAGGGAGAAAGAGAGAGAGAGAGATCTGTGACCAGGGCTGGGGATCAAGCCTGCAACCGAGGTATGTGCCCCTGACTGGAATTAAACCCAGGACCCTTCAGTCCGCGGGCCGACGCTCCAACCACTGAGCCCAACTGGCCAGGGCTTTGCTGAGAGTTTTTATAAAAACTGGGTGCTGGATTTTGTCAAATGCTTTTTCTGTTGCTATGATCATGTAATTTATGTCTTTCATTTTGTTTATGTGATGTATCACATTTGTTGATTTGTGAATATTGTACCAGCCTTGCATCTCTGGAATAAATCCCACTTGGTTATGATGTATGATCTTTTAAATATATTTCTGGATCTGATTTGCTAGTATTTTTTGAGGATTTTGGCATCTGTATTCATCAGGGATATTGGCCTGTAATTTTCTTTCTTTGTAGTGTCTTTATCTGGTTTTGGAATTAGGATAATGCTGGCCTTGTATAAAGAGCTTGGAAGTCTTCCTTCCTCTTGCATTTTTTGGAATAGTTTGTGGAGGATAGGTGTTAGTTCTTCTTTGAATGTTTGGTAAAACTCCCCTGTGAAGCTGTCTGGTCCAGGACTTTTGTTTGCTGGGAGTTTTTTGATTACTGCTTCAATTTCTTTAGTTGTTATTAGTCTATTCAGAAAGAATATATGCACCCCTAAGTTCATAGCAGCGCAATTTACAATAGCTAATATCTGGAAACAGCCCAAGTGCCCATCAGTAGATGAGTGGATGAAAAAGCTGTGGTATTTACACCATGGAATACTATATAGCTGTGAAAAAGAAAGATCTCTTAACCCTTTGAGACAGCATGTTGGGACCTGGAGAGTATTATGCTAAGGGAAATAAGCCAGGCAGAAAAAGACAAATATCACATGATCTCATATGTGGAATCTAATGAACAAAATAGATCCAGAGACATGGAAGCGTGTCCAGTGACGAATCTCAGAGGGAAGGGGTGGGGGTGGGAAGAGATTAACCAAAGAACTTATATGAATATATGTATAACCCATGGACACAGACAGTAGTGTGGTGAAGGCCTGGGGTGGGGTGGGAGCTGGGTGGAGGGGGACAAGGAGGGGGAAAAAGGAGGGACATCTGTAATACTCTCAACAATAAAATGTTTTTAAAAACATCCAAAGTGTTAATGGGTTCAGAAAATAAATGTGTATGTCATCAGTTGAGGTAAGAGATATAGCAAATGGTATACTCTCCTGTTCCCAGTTCTCCTGGGTGATGACACAGCTAGTGCAACACCGCACCTCAATACTTACACAGAAGTGAGGACAGACCCGATGGGGGTGGATGCTGACTGGTTCCATCAGCAATTTTCCTTTCCAATACATGCTTGTATCATTCTGTTATTATTAGTTGTGAATTTATATGCCTCAGTAGACTGTAAACTTCACTCAGGGTATGGCCCATGACTTATTTTTGTAATCCAGCCTCTCTTCACCATCCACCACTATGCTTTGTACATTGAACAAATGTCATGTAAAAATAAAGTGTGGAGAGATGCGCAGAAGATTGAATCTGAGAAGAGACCAGGCGCTCAGGTGGATCCTTGAGTTACCAAGCAAACTAAGGCAGCGATCGGGAAGAGTGCCTAGTTCAGCGGCGTGGATCAAGGCCCTGTCCGCCCCACGTTTAAATCTGCCCCTCTGCTTTCCTGGCGGTAACCCTCTGCGATCTTTCGTCATTAGTGGAACTGGGCTGAGAACCATCACCTCCCACAGTGGTGGCAAAGAATAAATAAGATAGAATGTGTAATATGTTCGGTATGGTGCCAGCACAGATGAAACTCTAACGTTAATTCCCTTCCCAAAAGGGCAACAAGGAAGTTCCCCATTATCCAAAGCGAAGGTTCCTTCTGAGAAAGACACGAAGGGGCACCCAGGGCATCTCAGCCTGGGTTGGCCGGAGTGGCTCCCTCGCTCAATCCGCCCCTCCCTCAGGTGGGCAGCGCCCGTCTGAGAACAGCCGCGGGGTGCTAACCCCAGGCCACGTCGAGGCTTCCCGCCTCAAAACACAGTCACCCGACACCAGCCGGCCAGCTTCCTGCCCTTACGCTTCCGTTGGCTTCGTTCAAACNAATATATGTATAACCCATGGACACAGACAGTAGTGTGGTGAAGGCCTGGGGTGGGGTGGGAGCTGGGTGGAGGGGGACAAGGAGGGGGAAAAAGGAGGGACATCTGTAATACTCTCAACAATAAAATGTTTTTAAAAACATCCAAAGTGTTAATGGGTTCAGAAAATAAATGTGTATGTCATCAGTTGAGGTAAGAGATATAGCAAATGGTATACTCTCCTGTTCCCAGTTCTCCTGGGTGATGACACAGCTAGTGCAACACCGCACCTCAATACTTACACAGAAGTGAGGACAGACCCGATGGGGGTGGATGCTGACTGGTTCCATCAGCAATTTTCCTTTCCAATACATGCTTGTATCATTCTGTTATTATTAGTTGTGAATTTATATGCCTCAGTAGACTGTAAACTTCACTCAGGGTATGGCCCATGACTTATTTTTGTAATCCAGCCTCTCTTCACCATCCACCACTATGCTTTGTACATTGAACAAATGTCATGTAAAAATAAAGTGTGGAGAGATGCGCAGAAGATTGAATCTGAGAAGAGACCAGGCGCTCAGGTGGATCCTTGAGTTACCAAGCAAACTAAGGCAGCGATCGGGAAGAGTGCCTAGTTCAGCGGCGTGGATCAAGGCCCTGTCCGCCCCACGTTTAAATCTGCCCCTCTGCTTTCCTGGCGGTAACCCTCTGCGATCTTTCGTCATTAGTGGAACTGGGCTGAGAACCATCACCTCCCACAGTGGTGGCAAAGAATAAATAAGATAGAATGTGTAATATGTTCGGTATGGTGCCAGCACAGATGAAACTCTAACGTTAATTCCCTTCCCAAAAGGGCAACAAGGAAGTTCCCCATTATCCAAAGCGAAGGTTCCTTCTGAGAAAGACACGAAGGGGCACCCAGGGCATCTCAGCCTGGGTTGGCCGGAGTGGCTCCCTCGCTCAATCCGCCCCTCCCTCAGGTGGGCAGCGCCCGTCTGAGAACAGCCGCGGGGTGCTAACCCCAGGCCACGTCGAGGCTTCCCGCCTCAAAACACAGTCACCCGACACCAGCCGGCCAGCTTCCTGCCCTTACGCTTCCGTTGGCTTCGTTCAAACGGGCCGCTTTTGTCAGCATCCAATCAGGACGCTCGATCTTCGGGCGCCGCCCAATGAGCGCGTGGGATAGGAGGAAAAGGGGCGTGAAGCCCAATCGCAGCGCCATCACACTTGAGGGCAAAGAGGGTAGGAAGCCGGCATGGCGCTCTGGTCAATAAAATCGATAGCTGGAAGCTGCCTGTGTTCCAGGCAAAGGCGGTGCAGTAGCAGCGCCGCCATCTTCGCCGAAGGCATCTTCCGGTACCTTTCCCCCAAGTTCGGGCAGGAGTTTCCTGAATAACAGCGCGAGGTTTCCGTTAGCCCCGCAGGCGGCCGATTCCCGGTCCCTCCCGGCCTGCCCCAGGCACACTCAGTCCCGGTCCGGCGGGGGCTCCCAAATCCCGGGGTCCGCCAGGGGCCGAGGCCGGGACAGGGGAGGTCGGGGCGCGGGCTTCTCTGGTCCAATGGCACCGCCTTCTTCTCCAGTCTCCGCACGGGGACCAGGAGAGGCCGGACCCGGCCGGAGAAGGGGAAGGAAGCCAAGGGCGGTGAAGTTCGCGGACGTGGCCGTGTACTTCTCCCCGGAGGAGTGGGGGTGTCTGCGGCCCGCGCAGAGGGCCCTGTACCGGGACGTGATGCGGGAGACCTACGGCCACCTGGGCGCGCTCGGTGAGGCCCGGCCCAATCCGCTTCCGCGGGTCTTGAGGGATGGAGGAGCTTGGCGGTGGCGGGGCGCAGTGTGTCCAGGGTCCTGGCCTGTGACCAGGTTGTGCGAGGGGAGGAGGACGGGGGTTTGGCAGGAGATGCCACCGGGTAGGTATTTACCCAGAGTTATTTATGAGCTGGACTTCTGACTGGTTCTCCTTCCCCAGGGTGCGCAGGTCCCAAACCAGCCCTCATCTCCTGGTTGGAACGAAATACGGATGATTGGGAACCAGCTGCCCTGGATCCGCAGGAGTGCCCGAGGGGATTAACAGTCCAAAGAAGTGAGTGAAAAAATGCCTGTGGAGGGCCTGCAGCTTCCAGTGACAGTCCAGGGTTATGGTGGCTGTGGCCCGTGTTGTAGTGCTCCATTGACTGAGTTCATGTTCACAATTTCAGGGTACTGTTTATGATGGTGTTGGTTTGGTCCACCACACAAAGATTCACTTGCCAGTTTGAAGACCGAGTACATATCTACAGTTGTCTATTGTGTGAATCAGTGAGCTTTTAAAAGAAGCTACTACCCTCCTGCCTCCTTCCCAGGATCCCTGCCCCCACCCACCCTCCTTTGATTTGGGCTCTGACTGAGAGACCCTATACCTCTCTGAGTTTTCTGTGTTTTGGTTGAAGGGACTTAATGGAGAACAGCTGCCTGGGGTGCAGGGACCCCTTTCTGCCCTTCTGGCAGTACAGTGATCAGTGCAGGACATACTGCACTCTCAGGATCAAGCAAGGCTCTGATTAGCACCATTCAGGTAGAAGGGCCCCAGATCCACCCACAGGGGCAGATGGAACTGTTTGGGCTGGGACTTCTATGCCAGATTCTCTAAGACCAGAGCTATCTTTCTAAAATTCAGATCTAACCATATTTCCTTTCTTAAAACCATTCAGTCCATAAGTGGTGATGGAAAGATAATAATGAAATAAAATAAAGGGGAGGAAAGACCATTCAGCCCACCTGGAGTGGCTCAGTTGGTTGAGTGTTTGGTGCACGGAAAGATTGTCGGTTTGATTCCCAGTCAGGGCACATACCTGGGTTGAGGGTTTGATCCCTAGTGTGGGATCACATCACATCAACGTTTCTCCCCCCCCCCCCC